GACTTTCATATACTAATATTTTTCTAACTTCAAAGTAATCTAACTTTCATATACAATTGAATGTTTTTCTAACTTCAACTGTCAAACATACATAATTCAAGAATTTCAAAGTTGGAAAATGCAACTAATCTAATTTCTAACTTTATAACTTCTAGCTTCTAATTATTTGTTAGTTCTATCTTCTAATACTCAATTCACAATCATATTAAAAAATCCAATTTAGAAGAAAATCCTAAAATAAAAAATTCTCAATTCTCTACCTAACTAACAATAATCAAATATACAAATTAACAATTGAATAACACAATTCATCAAACTAAAATAATACACTAATTTATAACAAATCAAATATTACTAGAATTAAAAAAAACTAAAATCAAACCCTAACCTTAACAAGCTAAGGAAAAGAGGCAGTGGGGACGACGGGTGGCGGCGTCGACGGGGTAAGACAACAACGGGACTAATGCTCAAGGAGAGAAGGGCAACGGCGGCGCAACAATTTGATTTTAGAGAGAAGGGAGAGATGGGAAAATGGGGGAAAAACATGTTTTTTGGTTCAACATAATTTAAAAAAAAGCGACGGACAACGTCTCTTTGTCCGTTGCTTTTTAAAAAATATTTGACCAAAATTTTGACTAAAAAGAGACGGACTAAGAGACGCTGTCCGTCGCTTTTAAAAAATGTTTGACTAGATATTTTGACCAAAAAGCGACGGACTAAGAGATGTCATCCGTCGCTTTTTTTTTAAAACTAATTAATAAAATAAAATAAATTAAAAACGACGGACAACGTGGTTATTGTTTAATTTATAAATAATTATTTTTATTAAAAAGCGACGGACAGCGTCTATATATATTAAATAAATAATTATTAATCATATATATTTAGCGCAAAAATTCGCGAAAAAAAGCAACGGACTAAGAGAGGCTGTCCGTCGCTTTTTGTAAAATAATTTTAAAAATAATTATTTTTATTAAAAAGGGACGAACAGTGTGGCAAATGACGTCACTTTTTAGAGCGACGCAGTCCGTCGCTTTTTGGCAGTTTTTTAGTAGTGAAGGGATTATTAGCTGGACACATTGTAAAATTTTCTCCAACAATCCTTAGACAACTTTGGTCAATACTACTTTGGCTTTGATGTTGACTTTGACTGAGGCTATGGTGGCGATAATGGTACTTTTGCCGAGCCATTCTCTTCTTCCTGGCAGAAGATCCCAATCTCACCATTCTCATAGAAAATTTGGTAAGGATATTGACGAAACAAATCGTGAGTTGGATTAGCATTTGTGCTGCCATTATCACGAATTAATGGATTGTACGTATTCCACCGCGGAGTCCATAGTTTGATATTCCATTTTCCCATTTATTGTTTGACTCAAGTGAGGTGCAAATGAAGGTCCGTTACAGTAAGGATCGCCTTCAAACCCCATGAACGTAGGGATTGGGTAAAAGGGCTTGCGGGGAGGTGGTATCCATGGCGATGGATTGAAGCCAGTGTTACACTGGAAACCGTAGTTAGGGTTTGGGTTCGATTCATTAAGAGATTCAGTTGCTGCTGCTTCACTCATTTGTTTCTTTTGTAGCTGGTATTGTGCTACCCATTCAAGTATGAGTGTCAACTGTTTCTTCCCTTCTTTTGTGGACCCCATTCAGGTTCGAAGCACTTTTTATAGTGGAATGATTGAGCTTATTGTTCCTCATGTCTTGTACGGAGATCAAGTCTTTGTTTTTGCTTCAGCCACTCAAAGAAGAATAACAGCCAGCTCGCCGTCACCTTGGAAAAGATCCATGTATCCGAGATCTTCCATCACGTTTAAGCAATCGTCATCATTATCTTACATATTTTGTTGCTGACTTTTTGTCCATATGACAATATATGTTGTCACCTGAATGGTGCTAGCCACCAGTTCACACTTTTAAGAGATGAAACAAAAAAACAACACTAATGTTACTCCACCATGGATGACCTAGACAGCTCAATTCTCTTTTCCACACTGGGTAAACGCACATAACAATATGGATAAGTATGGTTTAATTTGTTAGTAATTTTTATTTAGGCGAAATGGTCTGATGATCTTTGTATATGTATGAGTTTGTATTCTGAATCTTTCTATTTAACTATTTACCAACTGAAGCCTTAGATTCAATCAAAAGAAGATTTGTAAACCCCTCCTACCATGTGTGTAGTTCACTTATTCTAAATAGATGACATGTCAAATTCATGTCACATAAATTAATAACATGTCATAATAATCTTCATTAATTATTTTAAAATTTTCTTAACTAAAATTATTAAATAAAAGGTAATATAATAAAATTTAATTTTTTCTTCAAACTAAAATTTGGGACTCCAAAGTGACCACTGACCATACTTCTTCTTCCCATTTCCATGGTGAAATGGCCAAATTTCACCGAAAAAAGTCATCACTGCTGCCACTACTTTTGCCGGCGTGACCACATAGACTCTCTCCCACACCCGTCTCCATCTCTGCTAGATCCTCACCAATTTCCTTTCCTCCTTCTCCAACCTACACAAATCCATCAATCCTAAGTCGTTGCTTAATTCACCACCAACTCTGATTGGCAAATCTCCTCGCCGCCTCCCGTTTTGGCGAAAAAAAGGAACCAGCACCTCTCTCTCACTCCACTACGAATCAGTGGACTCCAACAAACACCATCGTTCTCGCCTTTCGTCTGCGAAGCAATGGACTCAATGAGGTGCCAATGTCAATTCCAAGATTTGTTAAAGAAGATGACAATGTTGTGTAGAGAAGAAAGAAAAGGGGGTTGGGCAAGGATTGGAATGGCTGAAAATGGTCGAGTGCGTGAAGAAGAAGAGTTTTGAAAAAAATTATTTTCTTAATTTTATTCCTTTATAATTTTATTATTTTTAACTTAACTATGATATTCACTTGCCTTTTTACACGTGAGTAATCACACTTTCTTGCCAACTCGGCCATCTTAATGACACATCAACATGGTCAATGGTTACAAGGGTTTGATATATTGGGTTTTATTAAGTAGGCGTTTGGCCATGCGATACCATATCACGATATGGTATCGTGAGATGGAATCAGCGTTTGGACATGCGATTTTACGCTGATTCCATTTCATGATATGATATCGTGAGGTGAAATCAGCATTTGGACATGCGACTTTACGCTGATTCCATTTCATGATTCCATATCATGAGATGTGATTCCATATTCTCCAAAAACTATGATATGGAAATTCCGTATCATGATTTGAGATATTTTTAATATAAAAATTGATCCACAAATTTATATTTTGTTAAAACAACCCCACATTTATATCTACTAACCATTTATTTTATTTGTAAATAAAATTTATAATGACATCATTACTTTTTAAATTTATTATTCTAACCGACATATATAAAATTTATTATTCTCACCAACATATAGTTACTTTAACTCACACCAACCGATTGTTGAGTAATATTAAAGACTAGTACACTAAAATTTATGTTCAATTTTATTATTGAATTAAAGTTTGATGAATTAAAGTTAGATGAAACAATTACTTAAGTGGAGAACAAATAGCAATGAAATAATATATTATGCGATTTTATACATTTTTGTTTATTTGGTAAGATTGGATAAACAATTGGGGCTATTTTAATAGTTTTACAACTTATGAAATTTTTATGTTTATGAGAAAATATACAACATCAAAATTTCATATCGCATGTCCAAACAAAACTTCAATTTCATCTCATAATTTCATATTATGATATCATATCATGATACCATATCGCATGGTCAAACAGACCTTAAGTCTAAGAGTTCAGTTGGTAAAAGGCATAGTAAAAGGGTCCATAATACAAATTTGTACAAGTGATCATTTCACATTTTATTTATGAACTCACATATTAATATATTAGTGTATGGACATGCTATCATTTAAAAGAGTCTAATTTATAATCTAATAAAATATTAAAATATTTGAGCCTAAAGGTGAATATCTAAGGAAATTAATTTAATAAATCATTATCCTTTTCCTTATGTTTGAGGAAGACTTTTCTGACAAAACATTTCAGAATTCTTAAAGGAATTTGGTCTTTAAATCAGAAGACATCGATTTTCTGTCACTCCATCTTAGAAAAAGAACACTGCAAAACAATGTTGTAAGGTTTTGAAGATCAAGTTCTTCAATAATATTGTTGTCATAGAATACGATTAGGATTCTCTTTTTATTATTATGATTATATTTCTGTCTAATGATTTACTTGTGATTTTGAATAAGTTTTATAAAATTTTCCAACAAGTCATTTTGATATGAGAATTTCGTCAGCCTATTATGTCCTGAAAAAATGATTTGATAATAAGTAATAAATATTAAGAAATAATTATGAAATAATAAATATCTTTTCTTAATATGTTAAAGGTAATAGCCATTAGGAGTGGTATAATTTTTTTTTTAAAATGATGAACAAGTAAAACTATATGGAAAGAGTATATTAAGCAAATAAAAATAGAAGAAAAAAATATATTGAACAAGTAAAAGTGAATGAAAATAATAATAAACTGCATGGAAATTCGAATTTAAATTTAAAGGAAAACAATTTTTTTTTATCTACTTCAATTTTGATGTTCAAATTTATACACCAATCAAATAAGCATAGAAAGATTGGTAATAGGATAAACATAGCAACAAGCATTAAATATAGGATTGGACCGACTTGTTGAGAGGGATAATGATAGTGATACCAATATGGGTTGTGGTGTAGTGGTGAGACTTCTTCACCATTAATCAAAGGTCTCGGGTTCGAACCCTGGGTATGGAGATCCTATTGGGAGAGTCACTAACAAATGAGCCATGTTGTGCGCGATACAAATTTAGTCGGGGCTCCAATATGGGTTTCGGACACATGATGGGAAACCAAAAAAATAAGATAGTGGGAAAAAAGTTCTTTCTTTGCTCACATGACTTGTCTTCATTTGTATGTGAAGTTTTTCATTTGTCTTGCCTTTGCTCACATAAACTAAAATTAACAAAATGTAAAAATACACGCATAATACAACAACCTTTTTTTTGCTCAACCAATGAAGAATAAGGGAAGCGCTATAACTCTTCACTTTTCAAAAATCAAAGCTTGAAAATGAACCAAAATTCCTCAAGAGTGAGCTGAATTTTGATAGAAATAAATAAATAAACACATGAAGAAGTTCAAAATAATTTACATCTATCATTATATATAAAAAATATAATTTTTCCCCCAATAGAACTTGAAGGAACCCTTAGTCCTACTTGGTTCCGTCCTAAGAAAAGATTATTGATCGAGGGAGGGGTTAGTTTTTGCATGCGTGTAGAATGTGTTCATTTTCTCATTGTGGTGCCTCACTTACATGAATTTGGGGCCTCGAGGGGCTTTCCAGCATATTGGATTCTTCCATCTCATTATAATAACGTCTTTTGACTTTCTCATATCTCTCTCGTCGTTCACATTCAATGTCAAAATTATTGAATAGAATACAGAGATAGAGAAACACAAAAGAGGAGAAAACATTGATTTCAATATCGTGTTATTGATGAGAATAAAGTTGTCTATTTATAGGTTGAAAACATAACATGGATATCAAAACTTACGGTAACCTATTCCTTAATAACTGCTAGTTATTCTCTCCTACAAGTTAAGAGTTAGCTATCTAAAAACTAGGTAAAACAAACTTGGTTAAATAGAGTTCAAGTATAGTAAAAATTGTTAACGTACCATCCCTTAAATTGATGTTTCTAACACAGTTTAAAGAACTTTAACTTCTTCAAATGAGTAGATACCTCGCTAGTATTCTTCTAAACTTCAGAAAACTTTCCTTCATCAAAACATTAGTGAAGGTATCTGCTACTTGGTCTTAACTCATGCAGTAATGCTAGCAGTAATGCAACTCAATTACACCATCACTTGTAAGGTATCTTAAGAAATGATACCTTATATCTATGTGCTTGCAATATATGGGAGTAGCATAAGCTTGCCTGTAGTGAACTTTCTCAAGCAACTTCTTAAGCCAAATGGCTTGACATGCGCATGCTGTTGCAGCAACAAACTCTACTTTTGTGGTGGATAAAGTTACAATAGGCAGTTTCTTAGATGATTATGAAATGTCATTTGATCCCAGCATAAACAAGAAATCACTAGTACTTTTTCTATCATCGTAATCTCCCGCATAATCACTATTTATAAACCACATCAACAGTGAACTTCATTCTCTTTTTTACAACAAACTATGGTTGATTGTGCCTTGCAAATACCTCAAAATGCACTTAGCAACTAGGAGGTGAATTTTTTTAGGATTGTCCATGTACCTACTAATAAGGCTGAGAGCATACATTAGGCACTACACTCGACCAAACATTTTCATGTTTTTTTAGGCGTCGTTTGTTAGGGTGTAAAAGAATAATGCTCTATATAGTATATTAATAATGTTTGTATTAATTATGCTCGCATTAGTTATGTTGATATTATTTCTTATGCAATATTTGATTTGGTGTATTAAAAATAATATGTAAATTGAAATACATAGTTTCTAAAAATGAAACATTTGTTTACAAAAATACCAATCACAAATATGATGGAAGAGATATAGAAAAAGTTTTGAGGGACAATTGTGTCGTTATACGTAGACAGTGGCGGAGCCAAGAATTTCACAAAAGGTGTCCAAAAATAGCACAACAAAGCTCTTTTCAAAGAGTGGAAAAAACATTTGCTACTAGTAAGATTTAAACACGCGAGCATTGTCTAATTACAAGCATCTGAAACCACTAGGATACAATAGCTTGTTGTGTTAAATGTATCCAATACATGTTATTTAATCATTTCCTACCTCATTTTACTTGTATATATGATATTTTTTTCGACTAAAGGTGTCCTGACAACCATGTAGCTACACCCACTGTACGTAGATTGAAAAAAATGTACTCCCTCCATTCCATATTAACTTAAGCTTTGAGGTTTTTCACACCCTTTAAGAAAAGTAGGTTAGGACATAAATGGAACATAATTTTCCATTTTTACCCTTATTAATTATTGTCAAAAATAATTAAACATTAATTATAATAACTAATTCCAATATGTGATTATATCATTTAATTTGAATTAATAGTTTGCCATTATGTACAATTTTCCCTATTTTGTATCACCCATTTCACAGGAGATCTTTATGTCAAGACATGGAGATCATTGCTCCCTCCATTCCATATTAACTTAAGCTTTGAGGTTTTTCACACCCTTTAAGAAAAGTAGGTTAGGACATAAATGGAACATAATTTTCCATTTTTACCCTTATTAATTATTGTCAAAAATAATTAAACATTAATTATAATAACTAATTCCAATACTAACTTAAAAGGGTAAAATTGGAAGAATATTTTAAAATTAATCTTGATGATTGAAAACTAAGTTAATTTGAAAAATGAAAAATGACTCAAAGCTTAAGTTAATATGAAATAGACGGAGTATCAAACAAGATACTAGTAATACACAAAAGTATTACATACATTTTTTTTTCTGATACACTCTACGAAACGACCTGTTAGATTTTGTGCAAAGACAATGCCTCGTTTTCTAACATCTCATTATTGGAAAATGGTAATGAGAGAAAAGAGAAATGAGTTTCATGAGAAGTGTTTATTTTACTTAGTTTGAAATCAAAATTGAAGAAACATGAATAGAGTGGAGAGGCAATGAGCTCAGATACCAAAGCAAGACCAACAATGAGTTTTGAGGAAAACAATGCAGCAACACATGGTGGCATCTACTAATAATAATGCAGCAGAGAACCTCGAGGTGAAAGATGGTGGAGTTGTTTGTGGCTATTTCAAATCTTTAATAACTAATTATTGTATTGTCTCTTCTTTTCTTGCTTCCCTGCAAAGCTAGATTCTTCATTTTAACCAAAATATAAACAAACTCCCCAATGCATTTCACCTAAGAAATTTATTTTGAATTTGGAAGTTGATTCCCATTGCAAATGCCAATGTCGAGGCGATTCTTGGACCTCCCAAATCTTGTCGTCTTTCTAACCTTTTTTCTTCTATTACATAACTTTGCTCTTCCTTCAAATGAAGTTGATGTCCTGTTTTCTTGGCTTCATTCTACTAATTCACCAATTCCTCAAACATTCTCAAACTGGAATCCTTCAGATTCCAATCCTTGTAAATGGTCTCATATAGTTTGTTCTTCTAATCTTTTCGTTACAGAAATTGATATTCAGTTTATTCAGCTGGCTCTTCCTTTTCCTTCTAATCTTTCCTCTTTACAATCCTTGCAAAAACTGATCATTTCTGGTGCTAATCTCACTGGAACAATCCCACAGGATATTGGAGATTGTGTTTCACTTGTAACACTTGATGTTAGTTCAAATGGTCCATGTACCTACTAATAAGGCTGAGAGCATACATTATGTCTGGCTGAATTGTTGTGAGATATATCGAACTTCATACTAGTTACTTATAGTAGGTTCCATCTACGACTTGGTCTTCTGAATCCTTATCTAACTTCAAGCTAGGATCAGTTGGTGTACAAACCGGGTTGCACTTCTCCATCTGAAACTTCCACAACAAATCTTGAGCATACTTCTTTTGAGAAACAAAAAACCCATCACTATATTGGATAACCATTAATCCAAGGAAGTAATACATTCTTCCTAAATTAGTCATATCAAACTCTTTCATCATGGATTCCTAGTATTGTTTAAATATAGTCTCACTACTCCCAATAAAATTAAGTCATCAACATATATACAGACAGACAATGAGAATATCACTTTTATTGTACCTGACGGAAAGAGTCTGCTCATATAGACATCTCTTAAATCCTTCCTCCATGAAATAAGCATCTATGTGATTGTATCAAGCTCTTGACGCTTGTTCCAATCCATATGACGTTTGTTCCTTGTATTGAGGCTGACTTGTCTTGGTGAGAATAGGCAATTGCCTCCCCGTCCATTTTTTGGTGGTAACATATTTTGAGATAGTTTGAGTTTTGAGAAGTTTTGAATTAAAATTATATTTTTAAGCTGAAATATACTTGAATTAGTCTTCTGTTAAGTAGTCAGTCAGACCAAGAGTTTGCTTGGGGATCAACAATGGTTCTCGAGTGTCGGCCACGTCCAAGGAATAGGCTTTGGGCATGAAAATTTTTGTATGAGAGCATAGAGTTCAAGTATCCTAGGGTGTCTATGAAGTAGTGTCAGTAGGATCTTATTAATGGTTGTGAGGGCCCTATTTCTAAAAATGGAGGACTACAAATATTTAAGAAAAGTTTCCCTTCCTTTCATACTCTAAATCATGCACTAGAACTGTGTCATAAGGAACTTATTCATACCCGTGCGTTTCTCAAATCCATTCGACTACCCCTTATACTCAAGGTGGTTGAAATAGCAAAGCCCAGATCCTTATCATGAGTTACTCTCAGGTAGAGTCTTCAGAAAGTCATGAGACTATATAGGGGCTTGAGAGAAGCCTGTGAGTAAGATTAAGTGTTTGGATTCGAAAGAATGCACTCTTATATATATGAATCATGCATTTGAGCTAAAAACGAGATAGACTCCCAGACTCTCTTCTATAAGCCTTGATTCAGGTGATACCATTTAAGAGGGAAGTATATTTTAGAGCATGGATCATATTTTTACCCAAAACGATAGTATGAGTTACAATGTTATAAGAAGTAGTAGTAGAAGTGCTCTGAGTTAGAAGTGTGCATTTATGTAAGTTGTACCTGTGTACCTAGTTAGTCATTAATGAGGAGTTTTTCCCTTATGTTTGGTTAAGTAGTAGTAATTTTGTGTGAATTTCATGATAGAAGACATATTAGTAGTTATTAGTCGGGATAAGGTATGTATACTTCAACCAAAAAAGAGTTTATGTCGATGTGTCAATGTGTTAGTGAAGATCAAGTATTGGTGTTGAATATAAGATGAGGTGATAGATTTAAGTTAGGCTGATGATTTTGAAAGGAGAACCTCATGATATTCAGCGGGTTATAGAACTAATTAGGCAATGATGTATAGTGAACGGGTAAATAGTACTTACATTATAAAATGAAATGTGATGGTAATATGTAAAAAGGTAGACTAAACATAAAGATAGACTACTTGTCATAAGGTCTTAGTGGACGAGTGTTTCTTAATTTTATCTAGTAGTCGTAAGTTATTATATAATGTGAGCAATTATTTTGATATCTGTGTTTAGTATTATAGACACTAAGCTTGAATTTGAGATGAGTGTCACGGTAAAAAATATAAGGGTGATGATATTAGTTTCAGAATTTGATCAGGTAGATTTCACATAGAGTAGGTGGAGAATTATGGTGTTAGTTTGCAATGAATATGTGTGGTACAAGTATGGTATTAAGACTCTTATATTAGAGCAATGAAGTGCAACTAAGTCATTAGATTAGCAAGCGCATTAAGAGGTGTACCCGAGATCGTATATATTTGTAACACCTCGCTATTTGAAAGTACTAGAATTAGAAAGAAACCGTTTTTAAAAATAATTAAATTTGGAAAGTTTGACAAAGTTAAGCTAAGTTTGAGTTTTTGGGTCAATCATGATTAAATTCAGCGAAATTATGTTCTTGAAAATATAGAAATTGAGTTCTTGATGGATTGTGTTGAAGTTTCTATTGAGTTCTTGATTGTTAAAGTTATTGAGAAATTCTTGAGTTAGATTCATGAAAGTTGATGTCGTTTTGAGTAGATTCTTGCATATTTTGGTTATGTATTCGAATCTAAGTGTTTGGGGAAGGAACCAATTGAAACTAGAGGGTTTCGAGTTGAATAACGACTAATTAGTGGATTTGTCAAAAACCTGGGGAAAATGGGTGGGGCGCCGCGCTACTCAAAGCGCCCCACATAGTGTTCTGTTGTTTGGGCTCTAGGGCGCCGCGCCAGCCAGTGCGCCCCAACCCAGCTTTTGCAGTTTTGGGGCTGGCTCCCCGCGCCACTCAGAGCGCCAGGGTCGCCAGGTCCTCTACCCTTTCCCACTTCTTCCATTTGAGTTCCCTTAGAAACTTACCTATGTTTTCTAGTTGATTTCAACACTCTAAGGTACGTCTAAAACAACATGAAATCATCCATAACATGAGATCATGAGCCTTGAATCCATAATTCAATTCAAGGAAAGTTAAGAGTCAAGTCAAGAGAAGTTCATAGAGTCTTCCAAAGGTCTTTTACAAATGTTTTAACTTTGTTTTAAGACTTGAGTTTTGAGTTGAGTAAAAAGTAAAGACTGAAGTTCATTTCTTCAAAAGAGTATATCGGGACTATGTATTCCCAAAGAGTAAATGTTTTCCCATTTAAACACAAAAGGAAACACCGATTTCCAATATAACATATGAGCTAGTTTTCAGTGAAGAACAAATGCTTTCACAATTAAGCAATAGAGGAAACTTTGAATTCCAAGAGAGCCTTTGAGCTAAGTTTTGAGCAATTATCTCAAACCACATAAAGAAGTTATGTTTTTAAACATATGAGTCAGTATCTTTTGGGAGTAGTATTGAGCACCGATATAGGGGAGAGTTCAGAAAACTCCTAGCCCCTATAAACCATGTAGCCATCATGGGTTGAAAAAGAGTCATACTTTTTAGATGATTCCTTAGTGCTTTTTAGCATAGACTAGTGGATCCACTTAGTAGTTAGGTTCTATGCTCTTGGCAAGGTATAGGATGACCCTGGCAGCGTAAGGCAAACTGATGTATCATCACATAGTTTTATGCCCTTGGCAAGGTATAGGACGGCCCTGGCAGAGTTGTTATCCATGTTTTAAAAGCCTTTCTTTATGTTACATTTATATTATTGCTTTATATTGAAATGAGTTAAGTTGAGTTGAGTTGAGCCCAGGTATGTTCTTCCAGTTCCTTTCAAGCTTATATATTGTTTTAGAATTCCCCTTGCATGCTCGTACATTAAATGTATTGACGTCATTTGGCCTGCATCGTTGTTATGATGCAGATACATGTAACCAGGATCAACATCCATCGCTTCGTTGATTCTAGTTGAGCTTCAAAGTTGTTGGTAAGCCTCATTGCTTTTAGAGAACCCCTTTTTACTGCTTTATAGTTAGTTCATTAGGATGTCGTGGGTCTTGTCCCAACATCCATCTCAGTTGTTAGAGGCATCATAGACAGTTAGTTTGATGTTAGTTCTCGAGTCTTTCCATTTCAGTTATGCTTGAGACTTGAGTTGTCACTTTGGCCAGTGAATGTTTAATTATAATACATTCTCAGTTATCTCTGAGATTTCAGTTTACTTTTAAAGTACAATTATGTTTGAGTAAAGTCTTCTGTTAAAAGTTAAGCCAGGCCAAGGGTTCTCGAGTGCCTGCCACGCCTGGGGTGTAGGCTCAGGGCGTGACAAACTTGGTATCAAATCCCAGAGTTCAAGAGTACTAGGGAATCTATGAAGCCATATCTATAGAGTCCTAGTTATCGGTGTGAAGCACGCCACATCTATAATTAGGAGGTTGCAAAATTTGAGGAACTATCTCACTTCTTTCATATTAATTTCGTGCGATCGAGTGTATCTCTATAAAAGTATCTTTCTAACTCGTGCTTGAGTGTGTCTTTCAGATCATGCCTCCATGAAGAGCTGTTAAAGGTTGTTCGGCTAGAAGGAATGTTGAACTACATGAACAAGGAGTACCTAATGCACCAGAAGTGCAACCCCAAGGAGAGGTCACCAATGTTGAGTTCTGTGAGGCCATCCGGGTGTTGAGCCAAGTTGTGACTAACCAAGCTGGGCAACAGAGAGAGAATCATTAGGAAGTGGCTGATACTTCTAGAGTCTGTGAGTTATTAAGGATGAATCCCCCAAGCTTCACAGGTTCAAGTGTCACTGAGGACCTGAAAAACTTTGTTGAAGAACAACAATAGGTTTTTGAGATTATGCATGTTGCTGATGCTGAGACGGTGGAACTAGCTTCATATCAAATGAAGGGTGTCGCTCGAATCTGGTTTGATCAACGGAAGAAGAATCGAGCTGAGGGTGCACCACTTGTGACTTTGGCTTTGTTTGATGAGGCCTTCTTAGGGTGTTTCTTTCCCCGAGAACTGAGAGAAGCAAAGGTAAGAAAGTTTCTCACCCTTAAGAAGGAGTCTATGAGTGTTCATGAGTACAGTCTGAAGTTCACACAATTTTCCCTCTATGCTCTGGAGATGGTTGCTGACATGAGGAGCAGGATGAGTTTATTCATTGCTGGGTTATCTCGTCTGTCAAGCAAGGAAGGCAAGGCAGCTATGCTGATAGGAGATATGGACATAGCAAGGCTAATGATCCATGTGAAACAAGTTGAGGAGGACAAGCTGAGGGATAAAGAAGAGTTTAAGAATAAGAGGGCTAAGACATCAGGGAATGAGTTCAGGCAGCAAAAGGGTAATACGAAC